GACTGCCCTGCCGCCGCTTGCCGGCCTCCCGCGCCGGGAGTGAGGTAGCTGCGGTGGGGTTTTTATCTCGCGGAGGGTGAAGTGAAAGCGCGGTGCTGGGAGCGTGTGCCGGTGGCTGCCGGGGCAGCTGCTGCCTGCCCGGGTTGGGCACTGTCATCTAATCTCTGCGATCCAGATCAGTGGCTGTGGGGAGAGTAAAGCCAGCTCCCCCCGCCCCGTGTGCCAGCCCCGGATTGCCTCTGCACAAGGCGTATGAGCTTTCCGTTGTGAAATCTTCCTGGGCGTAGCTCTGGCTTCCTCATTGTGGCGGCGTCAGTTTATAAAATGTGGAGGCAGTGAAGGCCAAACACCAAGAGTCACAGGTGTTTTCTGAGAGTGAGCTTGAAGAAATAATCTCTTAGGGACTTAGTGCTCGATATTGGGAGACTTCTAAGTCACGTTGGTAAATTGAGCTTTCCCATTGAGCTAAATAGGCAAGAAGAAACATTTTTTCCCTCCCCCCAGCCCTTTCGTTTTTGAAAAATTCAGTGCACAGTGTCTTAGCTGAGATTCGGTTTTGACATCATATTTTTCCAGGCGCAGCACTGAAACAGCTGTTTAGTGGTTTTATTGCTTAGATTATAGTCTAGTATACTGAATGGGAAGATTTTTCTTTGGAAATCCGTTTTTTTTTCTAATAATATAGAAATGAAGCTGTATAAATTATGGGTTGTAATGCAAAAATACATTTTTAAATAATATATTGGACTTATTTTGGGCATTAGAGTAGTCAAGTACTCCAGAGGAGGGCTTCAAGGGATGAAATATTTCAAGCATTTTATGGATGAGTTGACCTTACTTGACTAGCAGAACATCTTGGCAATGTGTGTGTGTTACTTTAATCTGTTTGTAACAGCACGTGGAAGACTATTACACTTCAAACTTCTGTTGCCGATATGCTTATGAGAAAGTGTCAAGGGAAACTATGGGATGCTGCCCAGTTCTTGAATCTGACATGTGAAAAATGTGTTCTGATGTATTTCTAGTATTAAGCCCTTATAAATAAGAACTTGCTTTCTTCATTAGTACTGAACAACATGAAGATTGGTCAAAGTGCTGCTGGTCTTGCAAAGTTAAATACTTTTTTTTGGAGATACAGATTGTTTGGTTGTTCAGTATTAAAATAGTAATGTCATGACCTGTGAAATTGTAAGTAGCAAGGTAGCTAGCTCAGTGCTGTATATAAAGTTGGAATTCCAGAACCTGTTCCTGGAAGTCCTGAACTTTGGTTTAGCATGATGTATAGAGAGATTCTTGTATAGAATTTCTTTCTCATTTTCCTGAGTTCTTGTTTTTTTCAGTTGTATATCAAACACCTTTTGCTGAAGTTGGCCAGAAAATGCTTACAATGGCATCTCAAAAGTTTCACACCTTAACAGCTGGCTTTACCCAGATTCATCAGACCATAGTTTCCACTCAGTATTGTAGTACAGTAGAGTATCAAATGGACAATATTTAGGAAAAAAACCCCACCACCTTGAAAGCGTTAGCATGATTAACTATACTTGTGCTATGGTATTGAATGTTTTTAAATGAATAGATTTATGTGTTATAGGCAATTCTATTTATGTATGCAGATATCCATTTATAAATATTTATTCTCTTAAAAGCATACATCAAAATGAATTGAAATAGCAAAATTAGCTACCTGATTAGGTGAAACTGTGCTGTGACTAATTCTACTCAACAGTGCATTACAGAAATGTGCTGGTCATAGAGGGACATGGTGTAAACAACAGTTCACTTGTCCACTCTTACTGTTTATTCTAGGTTTTATTTGAACACTTGGTATTTCTTGCTTTATTCTGTGGTTCTTCTCTTTAAATTTCATGGTTTTCATTCTACAGTGGGTCAGTATGTATTTTTTGGCTGACTAGCATTTGTTTCCATTTTTCTTACTATTCTGTAGCACTTCTCCTTTCTTCACTTCTTGTTTATTATTCCCCATAGTTCTGACTTCAAACTCCATCCCCTCTCACACAAACATACAAACATTTAAAACTCTTCTACCAGGCTTTTTTTCCACGTATGTATTTGACAATACCTCCATTGAGTAGGGACCTGAAATGGGGAATCGTTTTACTTCCCATGGCTATCAGAAATGGAACAGAGCTTCAGGAAAACCAACAACACAGAAATGGTGAGAGGAAAGGGAGAGAAGTCCACTAGCTTAACAATTCCTGGAGCTACAACTGTTCCACCTGTGCCTCTTTGCTTTGAGCAGTAAAAAAGGACCCTCATTATTCAGTTGGACAATCCATTTTTTCCTCTAACATTAAGGCATCAGGAAGTGCTCTAGTTCATTGGACTTTAAGCAGGCAAAAAGTTTTGCTGCAAGTCTGTCAAGTGTTTTTAACTTCAGGCTTGTTTATGGTAGACTTGTCATCATATGAAGTCTGTACAGCTGGTCTTTGAAAACTAAAAGATTGTAAAACTTATTGAAAACAATTATTCTTTGCAATGAGTCTATTAAAGATTTTCCCTGGGAAAAGATGTTTAGATTTTTAAAGGTGAACTGGTTTTCCCAATCTGTAATGCCTGGAATGAGACTGTGTCATTGTAAACATGTAACTGTTTCCTTAGGTGATTAAAATCTCTGGAAACTTTATAAATATTCTTTAGGGGCTATTTATGTTTTATTGGAAAACATGAGAATGCAGTGTTCCATCCATCTTACTGAGTAGGAGTCTGGATTTCTATGTTATGTCTCTTCTGTATTTTACTTGGATATTTGCATGCTGCAGCTGCCATCACCTAAACTAGTTTATTTATCCACATTTGTTCCAAAGCCTTTTCTGGTCCTAGTCTAGTCAAGTCCAAACAAAAACTAATTTAAATCTTGAACACTTTGAGTGTGTGTGTGTGTGTGTCAGCTGTAGTGATGTCTCCCTGTGTGGGTGAAGTTTACTGTAAACTTGGCTGTGTCTTTTACAGGGCTGGAGTTCAGTGTAGTGTAGGAAAACATCATGTGCAGTGCATTCGCAGAGTTTGGCATGTGTTAAGGAAGATTATGTATAAAAGTAGTCTGAGTAAGAGGAAATTTTGTCTTGTTCCAAATCGCTGATAGTTAGTAGACCTCCCATGGAGGCCTGTTATGTGAGATAATTCAGTTGGTGCTTCCCTAAACAAAGAAGCCCTGTAACATGGTGATGACTGATGTTGCTTTAATTTTTCATGGTATCTGCCAATATCAAAATGATCAGTATGGTGTGACCAAGGATGATTACAGTATCTGCTTTGGAGCACGAGAGGCCAGTGGTGCCTGAGGGGCTGTTGGCATGGGTTTCACCCCCCAATCTGATTCTGCTCTCAGACTTTCCTCCAACAGTCAAGGCCACAGCATGAGGAAGGAAGTAGACCCAGTCTTTCTACCTGTCCTTTTCAGAGATAGGACCCCTTTTCTCACCCATACTATTTCCAGAAGCAAAGAACTCCATATCCTTTCTCCTTCCAGCCTGCTTTGGCAACTTGCTAGGGGAGAAGAGAGCGTAGTGCCAGTGAGGAGAGCACAGATAACTTCCAGGTTCTTGACGTTCTGTTGACTAGAACCAGCTGTGCAGGTGCATGGCCCCAGTACACAGCACTGGGCTGGGTCAGGCCAGACAAGCTTGTGGGGAGTGGGGCATGTGTCTGGTCTAGTAAATGTTCTGATCTCTCAAATATCTGTACCTACCTTGTTATTGTCTGTATTTAGGATTATAGCACTGCTGTGCTACTACCTGATAATGCAGTGTCCGACATCATGGACTGTGCAGTATCAAGAGCCTCAATAACTGGATGTTGTCATCTCTTGTTATAAACAAGGCCCCGTAACTGAAGGAGGATGGCTGTTATGCCAGCGACAAGATGTGCTTCATATTAAATTAATGGTTGGTAAATTTTCTTCAGCTGTAAGCTTCCTGAGTAGCTGAAGAAAGAATCAGCTAACAGGCCTTTCTATAGGTCATCTTTAACTTCAGCACCCTCAACCTGTTGGTTCTAGAATAATTACATAGATGAAGGATCTGTGTGTGTTGTTTTGGGCCAAGTTTGCTACTGTGTATTAATTATTACAGATACAATATTTGATTCTCTCTCAAAAAAACCCCGAACTGAATGCTGTGGTCTGTGCTCATTTTGAAATGTAGGTTAGTCTCTCTCAAAGCCGCTACAGAAGACATTGCAAATATCAAAATCTGACATTTAGATTCTGTCAAGGTATGCTTTGATTTTGTTCTTCACTACTTTATTTAAAAAAGCTGGTAATTCTCATTCAGCTTGTTCTGTTTCCTAGTGACAGAAGAACATATATACTCTTAACTTATTGAGCTTGTTTGCAAAGTAGCTGAATTTGTATTTAGTACAGATACTCTTTTGACTAATGCCAGTATGTGTAATGGTATTGAAGGTCTGCAATGCCAACAGAGATATCAAGACTAGAAAGTGTCCTCATTTTTGTTGAAATTTTAAGCTCCCAGGAGAACTGTCTTTGCTTTGAAGAATAAACTAAAGTTTTATCACATTTAAATATTTTTTTAGGCATTTACTCACTTTAAAACACTGTCATAATCTAAAAAGTTATTGGAAAAGCTATAATGTCAGAATTAAAACTTGGGATTTGTTTTCTCTTACATGTTCAGAATAAGTTGTCTGTTATGCTGGAAAATACATACAGCTGTGAAGATAAAATTTGGGTCCTGTTTGATTTATTTTCAGTTAGATTGTTTGCTTATCTTTTGTGGAATTGTAGTTGAAAGATGCTATTGTTGCAAGCTCAGCCCACTTTAACTTGCAGGATGAGCAGTTTAAAAAGACTTTCCAACAGTGCAAATGTGATTTGGAAAATAAGAAAAAGTGAATTTGGAACCATATGATGATACTCTTGGTAAACTCTCTTATAGTGACTGGAACTGCACTTTAGTAACATGGAATGAGATATTTTTCTTCAGGCAAAGCACTGAATCCTGAATTAATGGCATATACTTTCTTCCCCCTCCTCACTTCCCTTCTAGTAGCATTTTACATCTATCTTCAGAAGCAGAAAGCGTCAAGATAAAGACTCAAAAATGACTGAATTCTGGCTGATTTCTGCTCCTGGGGAAAAAACCTGTCAACAGACATGGGAGAAACTACATGCAGCAACTACAAAAAATAACAATCTTTCTACTAATTCTAAGTTCAATATTCCAGACTTGAAGGTATGTAAGTCCCATGTCATGTCCTAAGAAATATCTTGCATCATCTTTGTTTCTTTAGACTAGAACTGTAGATGGGGAATACTTGCAGACTTTTCAGAGAGAACAGCTGACATCTTTTGATGATTATGTGTGGCTCTAAAACATAATTTAGACAATGGTTATCTGTCTGAAATTCTAAGTTAAAAATTCTTCACCCTTAAAGGTTCAGCAAGCTGCATTCTTTCAATTAATACAGCAGTTTTTCCAGAGATAGTGGTCTTCATACTGCTAGCTGGAGAAGAAAATGAGAAGAAAAATGGAGACTTGTGATCTGAGTATTCAGATGATACAGTTTCCTTTCATTTTCTTGGGTTTTTTTGTTTGCTTTTTTTTTTTTCTTTGGTTTTGGGGTTTTTGTTTTTTCTTGTGAATTGTCTGCTGCTCCTTTTCTGGCTGAGATGCTGTGAAAAGGCTCACTTTAAAATAAAGGGGTTGATCAAATAGCTGCTGCCTTTTCTCTGTCTGGAAGTAATGTTCTTCAGTTGGAGTAGTGGTCTCCATCTGAACATTCCAGTGTGACCTGCCAACATGTGTTGTAGCAAATGGGAGGAAAACTGTTTGAACTGTTACTGTGAGAAGTGAACTGAAACAAAATCTGAAAGCAGTTTCTCTTGGTTTAATGCAATTGTCAGGTTATGGAAAAGTTATGAGCCAGTGTATTCGTTAGGGAAAGGTCATCCTGACACATGAATGTTTTTTGAACAAGAATTTTTAACTCAGTTTCACTGAGTGAAAGCTCATTAAAGTATGTCATAATGAAGAGAGAAAAATGCCACCAGTCTTGGCCTACAGAAAGGATCAAGTTCAGGTGGCGTGATGCCTTGTTTTTGTCTCTGCTAAGGAATTGGGCCTAGGACACAAAGTGCTTCAGTGTGTCTTTTAAGAGGATCTTCCAACTGCCATAATTTACGTTCGCATTTAGATTGTCCTGAGTTGTTTCAAGAGATAGAGTAGTAAAGGTAAGAAGAGGGACTATAATGACTGTCAGTCTCTTCCTAAGAGATCCTTGGATGTGAGTCAGGACACTTTTCAAACTGTAGGATGCCTACAACATTTAGAAAAGTTATCACTGAAAACTGATGTGGCCTATTAATGTTATAAATGATTGGGTTTGTTTCTACTCTACTTCCTAGAAGGGGCAAAAGCCAAGTATACTTCTCATACAATGGGAGACAGTCTGGGTTCTGTGGACCTGGTAAAACTGTTTAAGGAGTGAGATCATGAGATCCTTTAATTAAAACTCATCAAAACAGTGATTTAGTCTCCACTGAACAGCAGGCTTATTGCATAAAGACTTATCCTGTGGCTTGTGACTAGCCAAAACATTAGCTTCCTTATTTTGCATGTAAGTCAGAAGGAGGTGTGGCATGGAGAGTGATTTGGTTGTGATGTTACTTACATAATTGTGCTCCTTTCTGCTTTAAGGCTAACGAGAAGAGGAATCATGTAAAGTTGAGTGGTCAAATATGTAGAACAATGATGCTAGACTTTGCTATAATAGCATCTAGACTAGATGGAAGATTCACTTATGCCTAATAATATTTTAGCTACTAGTTTATATTTCTTGATGAAATATTAAAGATAAGGGTTTTCATTTTGAAGGTATCTCTTACTTTAATTGAACAGAATGAACAAATACGTAAGTACTGAGAGAACCAAAGAAACAAAGAAATTATATGACCTATTTAAAAATAATCACACTTCAGCTGTATAACTTGAGCATAGTTGTACTGGTTTTATGCTTTTTGATGTCTTAGACCCATCTGAGATTTGTTTATGCAAAAGCTAAACAGAGTATTTTACTGTGCTGCAATTTTCATGTTTAAATTATACCGAGTGTAAAACGGTGTCATCCCTGGCCCCAGAAGGGTGTGTGTATTGCTCTAGATTATTACATGAAATTAAGGAAGAAAGTGTGAAAGCTTGTAGACAAGCTAGATTTTCCATCACTCCAGATGCAAAAAGTCCAGACTTTTGGTCTGACTGCTTCAGTACTCTTGTATTTTCAAAGTTTTCAATGTTCTGGTTGCCTCCAGCACTGAGATACCTGATTACAGAAATTTCAGATTTGATCTAAAGTAGTAAATCAAATGCTCAGGCAAGTGACTTGTGGGAAATGCAGCCAATTAGTAATGTAGAAGTTGTTTTAACATATTCTGGATGATTGGAATACAGGACTGAAACTGAACCAAACTAGAGTGAGTTAGATCTGATACAGTGATAGTTTAGGAGTATCTTGAGCAAATGAACTTTTAAGTTGATGAGAAAATGTGATTTTGTTTAATCTACAAGTCTGAAATCTTAGAGTATTTTATGTAGTTCTGCAAAGCTACCTGATCATGAGATTTAGCTTTTATTGTTATTTGGTTTTATCTTTCTATGTTTATATGCAATTGCTAAAGCATTTTGATCTTTACTTCTAGGTTGGCACACTGGATGTTTTGGTTGGTTTGTCAGATGAGCTGGCTAAACTGGATTCGTTTGTGGAGGGGTAACTATTTTTACTAGCATGCAAAATACTAGAATAATGATGTGATAGTTTGAATCCTAATAATACACAGGTTATTTCCATCTTTTTTTGTTTCATAGTGATCATCTGCTGGCAGTCAACAAGCTAAGATTTCAGGAAGCAAAGCTGCTGATTTTCCTAATATCTGCACTTTAAAAAAGCAAAGCCTGAACTTCTTGCAGAATAGTGGGACATTATGCATTGACAAAGGATGGTTCTCCCTGTAGTAGTGCTGTGTGCTGCTGTGTCCTAGAGAACTGTTAAGGGTTGAGCTTGACAGCTGCAGGAAGTAATAGTGAAATAGAGTAAAAACTTCTTTAGCAAGTTAAAGTAATATTTACAGACTTTGAGAAGGTAACCACGTTGTTTCCTAATCCACAGAGATGATTAAACAGCATTAATATTAAAATGTAAAACCTATGAACCTATTAATCTTGAAGAAACTAATGGTCCTTTGAAAGTGATTTTGAGCTAATATAGCAAAATTTCATATAATTGGAACTTGTGGAGCCATCTTCTGTTTCAAGGAGAGAAGTGTTAAGCAGTTGTTTTTAAATGGAAAACGAAACTATTTGGCATGACACATGTGAGTAATATTAAACATAGCTTTTTTAGTGGGGAAGGCAGGTCTTGAGTGTCATATCTCATGAGGGCTTAGGGCTGGGGTTTCTCCATAGCTGTTCAGTTATCTGTAGTGTTTCGTTGTCACAGTTGTCTTGTGTTTAATTTGGATTATTGATGATTTCTACCTCGCTATCTATTTTTAGAGAGGCGTTAAGATATTGAAAGTACCACAGGCTTCAAAAAAAGATATGTGTATAGTGAGATTACACCTGAAGTCAACCCTTGTTACTTGGAGGCGACGAAAGTAGTCTCACCTTGTTGAGAACTGATGAGTGGCAACATTAGACAAGGATTTATATAAAGTTTTGGCATGTATTTGACAGGTTGAAATCCTTCTGAGTCTAGTTTGTGCTATTGGAAAGCTTGTATATAAAGCAATCAACTCCTTCTTCTCAGATCCAATCTCAGGCAATTTCAGATCAGTTTCATAAATGTCATTTCTCAAAATGACAGCTTTTTAAATTCTTTTTTTAATATCTTTATCTTTCATTTTTCAGTGTTGTAAAGAAAGTGGCCCAGTATATGGCTGATGTTCTAGAAGACAGTAAAGATAAAGTTCAGGAAAATCTTCTGGCTAATGGAGGTAAAGTGTTAACCATGATATACACACCCTGAAAGTGTAGGAGGGAAGGCAGTCATCGTGAAACGTACTGAATGCTGCTTCTCTGTGTGACATCCTGCAAACATAGTTTAGGCATGGAAGTAGTTTTTTCCATGAGTCACTTGCCCTGAAACGAATTATAGGATCCAGAATGGCAAGAAATTAGATCTACATGTTAAATACTTACAGAAGCCTTTTGATCCTTTAGGGCTGTATTTTGTCATCACTCGTCTCTGGTGGAACATAAAAATTACTGTTACTGATCACTGTAAACATGTATTGTATTTTTTTTATTAGTCTGTCATCTGAGTAGGTATGTTTTTATGTAAGCTATGCTGGAACACTCAGTTGTTCCCAAATTTTGATAGAATGTCTTTATAGGACTGCTTGTCTCATGGAAATATTTGTTCATTTTATTATAGTACAGAGTTGCACTGGTCTCTAAATCCTTATTTTATTTTCAAAGCCATTTCATGAAATTTAACACAGCTTATATTGATGCAAGAGAGGCTACTGCGAGTGGATTAACATGAAGACAAGTGCAGCAGTCCTAATTAACACAGTTATTCTTAGATAGGGGCTTGGACTATGTCTTTCTCACAGATAGTTTTACAAAGCTGTTGCTTCAGGTGAGCCACATAATCTTTGCTTTTTTTTTTTCCATTGTTTTCCATTTTTTTCCATTTCCTCCCTTCTCCTGCCCAGTTTTCACACAAATCAAAAAATAGTTGGTATTCTCTGTACTTCTCTGGCCATCGTTAATTTAATAATAAATCTCATTTATAGTCTGCAGAGGTGGAGAAACCAATATCTTAAGGCAGATGTCACAAATAACTTAAAACTTGTTTGTTACTTTGAAATTTCTTAAGCAACAGGGTCTACATGTGAAGGTCTACCAACAATATGTTACAGTACTCTTCTGTTACAACAATCCTACATGGACTATAATACATAGGTCTTCTTATTGTCTGTCTTAACAAAGTTGTTCTTTAATATTTTAGTTGACTTGGTCACCTATATAACAAGGTTCCAGTGGGATATGGCCAAATACCCAATCAAACAATCCTTGAAGAATATTTCAGAAATTATTGCAAAGGTAAGGTAATTTGTTTTAAAAAAAACTTTCCTGTTTGAACTTGTGATATTTATGCACAAAACTTGGTACTCAGAGCCATTTGCCTATTTTTATTAGCCTCATGTAACTTTGATAACAATAGTTATGAACCTGGTAGCAGTCTCTATGTTTGAGTAAGCAATGCAGTGTATTAGGATGGGGATAGGATTTGGGAGTGCTCCCTGAAGACCATTGTGCTGTCTTTTTGTCTTTTCTGGTTTCTGTTTCCTAAGATCACTGAGTTAACAAATAAATAGCTAGCAAATGATGGCATTTAGGTTTAAATTCTGCTGTACTGGCATGCCATTTGTCTGATGTTCTCAAACTTTGTGGGCTTTTAGCAGTGGGCTTTTAGCAGTGAACCAGGGAATGAACTTACTTTCTGAAAGCTATGGCTCTCAGATGTGCGGGGAAAAATAAGCCTTCAATGTTAGATGTAAGAAAAGCTCATTTGCGTATTGTCATGGGTTTTCCCCCTGTCTTTACCTCACTAAAATTTTTTGCACTTTGGGGATTTCCTTTGGTTTGCACTTGCTGTGAGCATAGATAGGGATCCTTAGCAGTGACTTACTGTATTCAGCCAAAGAGTTCTCTGTAAGCTATCCTTGCATTAGTATCTTCACAGCTTTTTCAGTTTTGTTTTCTGCTTTCTGTAATCTGAAAACTGACTCTTGGAATTATCTGTGTCAATAAAATACGTAAGGAAAAAGAAACAGCTGCTCTGGGTACCTATAGAGACAGTTCTTGGTGATGTATATGTGGGGATTGGGCTAAGTGCTGGCAGACTTGTGCTTTGCTGATACTGCAGATTCTCTAGATGTTAGTCTTTCTGCAACTATTAATTTAAAATTTCTGTAGAAATTATAAAATCTTAATATATGGTACATAGCTCTCTGAGAATGCAACTAATGCTTTCAGTTTGGTATTTTCTTTGGGGCTATCACTGCATCTTCAATCTACTCCACAAATTACACTTAGTACCTATTCCTGGAAAACATCTGCAGTGTGGAGTTTTGCTGGAGGAAGACTGACTGTCATATGACTCTTAAGATTTCTGCATTAAAAATATCAGATACCGAGATTATTATTTTGTATCTGGCACTACTTAAGTACATAAGCCTTTGCTTCTTCAGAAGAAGATACCAGAATGAAGCATTCCGCTGTTTACAGATACTGTTTGCCAGGTATAGGCATGAAGTTTAGGTTGGGAGAAGAGAAATTTGATGGGGAAAGAGGGACAGAGAGAACATAAGACAGGGTGAAGTGGTTTCTACAAGTCTTATCAGGGAAGTTGTTCTTGAAAAAGTTCCTTTCCTTTGGTTTGACCTTAAATAGGAGTGAACATTACTGAATTAAAAAGAAAAAGTCTTCAACCATGTTTTGTCTAATTTTTGAAACTTAACCTGTTGCTATAGTATAGAACTTGGTTTTATACCAGTTAAGTTTGTTGATAAAGCAACAAAGAACATGGAGGGATATGCCCTTCACTGAAGTATTACCAAGGATTCAGTGCGTGTTATCCTGTGTCCAGGAGTTTGCTAATTAAATTACCTGCTTGCAGCAAAGTTGTGCTCCAGAATTTGAACTTGAAATAACTGGCTTGCATTCTTCATCTAATTTAGGAACCTCATTAAATTACTAGACTGGATACTAAGAGCAGAGAAACCAGTCTTCTGGAGTTTGGCCTGAATCATCCTGTTGTGGGTTTTCATTTCTCTGCATGTTTATCTGTACCTGTCTTCTATAGGAACAGCTTCAGGGACACCTGTGTCGTAAATAAGTCATTTGAAAGATGTTTTCAGTTGTGAGCTGCAGATGTGTGTCTGTAAAATGTAGAAGAGAAGGAAGATAACTGAAATCGCCTTACATTCTTGCAAAAGTGATACCTAGGAAATAATGTCACAGGACTTGAAGCAATTTTGTCCCAAGTTAATGAGTCCTGATATAGTTAAAATAATTTTGGCATGTGATAAACATGAAGATACAGGAAAATTGGTAGAGCTACATTAATTTGTGAAGCCTCTTGACATGTTGATGTCAAAATAACTTGAAAAGCTTGTCAAATCATGAAATACTACTTTTACTGTATAGTTTTATATTTTCCTCACTATAGCAGCAGATTCTGATGTCTGACAAAATAAGAGTAATGGCAGCTGCAGTGGGGAGTTTGTCAGTTGAGGAAAAGTTATAGTGGTGTTGGAAACATTTAAAATAAAAGGAGATCTACTGAATCTATCAGTAAAGATTTTTAACTTTCAGAAGTATTGTGAACTTCAGTGTCAATACTGAAGACTTCGAAGACGGTATCTGTGCTGTGTGAGAGCTGTCACTTAATCTAGTCATTCTCTGTATTTATTTGAAATTATTATTGTAAGACTGTTATGCAAGGAGACAACCTCAGTAGCCTTAGGGCCCTAGTTCAACATTTTCAGCATCCCCGGTATCTACTGAAGTACAACAGCTCAATTGTATAGTTATAAGAAGACACTTCGGTATTGCTAACGCCTACGTAAGTGCTTTAAATATCTGGATTGTGCCATGTGTAGAAATGGGCCCACTTAGTTTGATGCTTTCTTTAGCAATATCACGAGTCTGCCTCATTTTGCAATGACATTTATGAGTTATTCACCAATTCTACTACCAAATGGAAGTTTGTATTTTTGCTTTATTTGGCAGTTTTTACACAAATACATTTTCAAGAGCTCTGCTGTGACATTGAGGTTTGTGGTTCTGCATTCTCTTAACGTTTTAATAGGAAGCAAAGCTGATTCTTACAGTAAACTCCAGTCAGTGCAGCAGTAACAGGCTTCTGTCTAAGCAGTCATCGTGGCTACTGACTTTACAAATTAGAGCAATTAGAATATTGACAATTAGGAAATGGTGAATGGAACTGTTTTATAAAGGCAGTGTTTGGTATCAACGGTTTTTGCTTTTTGTCACCGAACAATGCATAGTTAAGACTGTTGTTGAAAGTTTTGATCCTTGGAAAAGGTGAAAGGGAAGATTGTCAGTCTGGGAAAAAGTCCAAATGCACAAAGGTGCTAGCTTCTACTTGCTTTTTCCCTAATGCTCTATCAAAAAAAGTGTTAGTGCCATTTCTTGTAGTATAAAAAAATTTCCATGAAGATGTGCACTTCGTGATTCCTACTGAAATGTTCCACATGCTTTGCCATCAGTTTAAGAATTTAAATAACTTTACTCACCTGTTTAAAAAGTAAATATTTTGTTTAAAGCATTGCTGTATCTGTAAAGGTGCAAGCTGTTAACATGTTACAAGTGACCATTCTGGCAGTTTCAGGCTTTTAATGACCTTCCTGCTACAGACAAGTGGATTTATGTGTTACCATAAATAAGGTTGCTATATAACTAAGTGACTTTGCTTTTAAGAGGGATTTATTTTGTGGAAATAAAATAGTATCTTGATCCCTAAGCTGAAGTGTTGTATGCAAACAAAATGTTTTGTCAACAGTCATAAGTCCTAATAAAGAGGAGAGTCCCTTGACTGTGTTCAGATAATTGTCCCTGGGAAATTTTATGTTTGTGCCTACATACCATAGTGAGGAAGCAGTGAAGGAGGGAGTAGGCAACATTACAATGCCAGACCAGTACTGTACCATGTTCTTTCAGTTGCCCAACATTCACAAAGTATATTGATTTTAAAATACTTAATTATATAGCATATATGCTGATAGGAGTATGATTAAATGTATAAGACCAACTAATTTGTGTTGTTCCCTTTGCTGCCAAGTTACCTAGCTGGGCATGAAGCATTTCTGGTACTCATTCTAATTAATCCTGGAGAGTGGATTTGAGAAAGGTGGCTTGCTTCAACAGCAATGGGAAGCTGAATGTGAGAGTCGGTCTGAACAGTAAAATGGTTGGAACTTTGTTATGAAAGTTTGAAATATGATTGAAGGCTGCCAGTGACATTAAATGTAGAATGCTGCCTTTGCTTGATTTGACAGATATATTTATTGTCTGAAACAAGTTGGATTCAAGCCTGAAATACTGGTTATCTGTCTACCCTGGAACTTACCCTGTGCAACTTCAGACGTTCCAGAATGCATACGTTTTTACTAAATGAAGAAAGTCTCAATAAAACAGATTTTTCTTTATACTTGTAAGCTACTGATAATGTAAAACAGCAGCATAGAAGATGTCTTTGTGAAGGGAGATGGTGATACAATTTATTGTATATACCTTTACAAACATACAGAACAGGAAATAGCTCTGTTTGGGCGGGTGAAAAAAAGGCATAAAATAATTGTGACAATATTTAGAACTGTAAATAGTAACAGCCATTTGGAATCAGGCAGATGGTGCATTTAGTTGATATTCTGTCTTCGAGTGACCAAGGCTGTTTGTCTCAAGGAAAGGTGCAAATTGCAGTAAGCAAATACAGAGCAGCAGAGTCTCTTCTTAAGTTGTAGATAATACAAAGCATTAAGATTTTGAGTTACTGATTTGCTACTTGTAAAATTGTACCATCATTCTTGTCACTGAAACTCTAATGAGGGGAAATTATAATGAGAAGTGAGATAACAGCAGGAGGAGATGATGTCCAGTGTTCGCAAGTGTACTTGTATTACGTAGGTAGGTAAACTTCAGATGATCTCTCCTGCCAGCTATGGAGTGTGAGATGTCAAGGTGATGGAGTAATGATCAGCTGGATGTAGTAGTATGTCCAGTTCATATCAGAATATGTGTAACTTTTATTATTGGTTGATTTTCCTTTAAAGGAATTCTAACTTAGAGTTTTCTGAGTGAAGTTTGTCAAGCACTAGAGAAATAAACATTTTAACTTGCATATTTTTCATTAAGTTGTTGACATCATTGTTGACAGATGTAAGCTTTGAAATTGAGAAATCACTTAAACTATTCTAGTTCTTTAGACACTGTTCCTTTTCTTTATATCTTTAAGGGAGTAAACCAGATTGACAATGATCTGAAAGCAAGAGCCTCAGCATACAATAATCTGAAAGGGAACCTTCAGAATTTGGAAAGAAAGAATGCGTAAGTCACATTATTGCTAATGTAGCACAGGAAGGTTACCTAACTATGAAAACTTAGTTGTGTGCAAAGAGGCACAGACTCTAAGCTTGATGTATTTTTGAGGTGTTTATCAATCTTGAATAACCGCTGCCATAAAAGAACATTTATTAGCAGCTGACTTGCTGGCAGTAGCTCACTTGCTTGATAACCAATTATGAAATGCCCCAAACCATGTACAAATAGTTTAAATTGCTGGAGCTTCTGAGAGAAGCTTGCTATCAAAGCGGTGTGTAACAGTGCTACTTAAGAGTCTGTCTAAACAAGGACATCTTTCCTTGCACTCCAGTTTATGCTTCAAGCATATTAATGTTACTGGCTTTCTTCCCTCAAAATTAAGGAGCAGAGACACAGCTGTTGCATACATGCAAGTAATAAATTAAACAAAGACTTCATGCTGTCTTGTCATGTGCATATGTTGATTATTTGAAATACAGTTGAGGTACAGTGGTTATTCTGTGCAAATATGGCTGATTGATTGACCCAACCCTACTATTACAGTTAATGGTACAAGCCTGCTGGCTGATTCAGAACCATGGGTCATACTAATGAAAGTTATTTTATGAATGAGCCTTGAGCTCTGTCTTAAGCCATGGCAATTTGTCAGCTAAGCCCCATTAAATCTGTGTATGTTCTTAGTCTTTTTGAATATGCTGCTTTAAATTTTTATTGAGGTTCTGTATGTAGGTCATACTAGGTTAGTTATAACTCCAAGGCTCCATATACTAGGCTTCACAATTAATGGGTTTAATGGTTCTTGTGTTTTTAAATCACTTTTTTAAGAGAAGTCAGTTTAAGTGCATTAGGTATTTGGAATATGGAAATGACACGCAGCAGTGGAGCTACTAAATAAAAACTTTCAGTGACTTTAGACAGTAAGATATAAAATGCACATAAGGACATTTTTTTTTTTTTATTGCTCTGCTAATAGTGAATGCTTAATAAAATTTATTTTTGAGAATGCTATACTGTCAAGCACTGGGAACTGTTGTGCAGATGAATTAAATTCTTAAACACGTATGTATTCTGTCTGGTTTTGTTTCTCTGCAGGGGAAGCTTGCTAACCAGAAGTCTTGCTGATATTGTAAAGAAAGAGGACTTTGTACTTGATTCAGAGTATTTGGTCACGTTATTAGTGATTGTACCAAAGTAAGTTTATTGTTTGTCCTAAAAGCAGGATAAAATAAGAAATTTAAATAACTCATCCCACAACCCTATAATACTATAGGAAAGGACATGTGAGTTGGGGGTTTTCCTGAATGAACTAACACAGCCTTTTGGAAGATTAATAGAGGCAGATGAGCCTGTGTACCTGTATTTCGTTGTTCATGAGAACTCATCATAAGGAATGCTGAGTGCTCATGAATTTCTTAAATAAACTTATGTTTCTTATCTAATATTAGCCATGGCTAGTCATGTTGAAGAAGGTATCCTTATGAAAATAAGTACTCAGTAAAAACATGACTTGTCTTATATTAGAAGGCTTAATGATTGAATTATCCTGGTTAGGACTATTCTGGCTTTCACCACTTAGTGAGCAAAGTGAACTCTTTACTACTTTGTTCTGCACTTTTTCAGATTGCCATAGTGCTGTTTTTTTACTTATCTAAGTCTCAACCAACGGAACACTGCTTATGTCATGTCAAAGGTTTACTGGGAACAGGTTGTTCTTGCCTTAAATGTTTAAACAACAAAACCCCCACCTTTTTCCCTGGCCAAGGAAAGTGGTGATAGAGATGTCCTTATGAATCTTGTAAAATGAGGAAATGGCATTAAACTGTCTTTCTGGATTTGGGAACAGAAAGAGCTTCTAACTTGTAAAGATAGCCAGTAGGCTGATTATCACATGAAGCGGTAGTCTGTCACATGTGAAACTCTGGTGAAGGCAAAAGTTTTGCAGTGGCTTTAGCAGAAAACAGGTGGTTAGTACATCTCAACTGTTATTTTTCTTTTACTTTTGACTTGGTTTTGGTGTTGAACCATGGAACCTCTTCATCACCAACTACAGAAAGGCAGGGCTTCCAAAATTCTCAGTGGTCCTTCAGGCGTGTACAGGACTCTGGGGAACACATTTGGAATTGTGGAAAAAGTATTCCTATTAGTAACTAGTAAGAGCAGAGTTACATAAGGAGTTTCTGATAAACCTTGATAGTTAAGTCCATTTGGTCCCCTGAGATCTTTAAGTAAAGATGAGTAATTTAATTTCATAGTTCTTTGATTTAGAAAATTTTACATTTTTAAACTCATAGGAATACTGAAGATAAAATATCTTACTTTTGCTACCATTATAGTTTATTTAGCAATAATCTTAAGAACAGCATGAGGACGACTGTGCCTGATGTCTTGTGTATTTCTGACAACATACACCTGGGTTGGAAGATGTGATAATAAAATGTTTTTAACATTTTTTAGTAAAAACTTGATCCATTAGTCTGAGATTTCTTACTATGGTACTAAAAGTTTAACCATAACCTGTGTGTTCCCTAGGTTAAATTATAATGACTGGGTTAAGCAGTATGAAACGCTAGCAGAGATGGTTGTACCACGTTCCAGCAAGTAAGCTGTTAAATGCTAACTCTCATATTTGAATGTGCTATATTTTGTAAGTGTTCATCTGTAGTGACTCTGAATTTTAAAGATTGATCAAAAACTTGTCAACATGTCTAGCTTTATAGATTTATCTGATCAAGATTGATTATGTTGTAGTTGAGTAAAAATTCAAAGGATTTGTAACTCTAGGGCTGACAAAGTTATCAAACTAACTTATGTCGGAATAGTAAAAGAATTGAAAAGTTAATCTAGTTCAAATCAGGCATGTTCACCTTCAAGGCAGTGCATGGTGAGGTTTAGCAACAAATACTAGTTGCTAGCATGTAAGCTTTATGTCTGTATTCAGAGGACTTGAAACAAGTTACATATACCTTTGAAAGCTGCTAAAAATGAAGAATGAAAGCGTAGATGGTTTTATTGTGCACAAAGACAAGTAACTTGTCTCTTCTCGGCTCACGAAGGTCCTCAGTACCAAGCTGGTGCTTGATGTCTGTGATGGGTAAAACTGAGGCCAGGATTTGATAATACTGTTAAGCCACTTTTCAATGTGGTTACAAAGTTGCTAAATAAAGTCAACTTATATAGCTCAAAGCTTTGCTGTGTTGTTAATTTTAACTGACAATGAGGTTTTGATCAGGCAGATCTGATACTACCAGCTCTATGCCAGTTATAAAACTTGAACTTGCTCTGGCTACCTTAATATTTGAGTTGGATCAACTTAAGTCTAGTGGGACATCTGCCAATGATTCTTATTTAATTATTGCGAAACCATGATCTAGAAATAGCTTGAGGTGACTTGTTAAACTGTAGGATAATGTTTGTACTAAAGACAGTGTGATTTTTTTTTTTTTTTTTTTTTTTTTCCTAAGGTGAAGTACCAAAATAAGCAGTATTGTCTTGAACTATAACATAGTAAATCTAAGGGTAATCTTTATGGCCTAAGAAACACTTTTTCTTAACCTATGTCTTTTTAATTTGTGTCCTTTTCTATTTTAAATCAATTTCCTTTTTCTTCAAAACATGAATTTCTAAGACACATTTTTCTAACATGCATTTTCAGTATTAAACCATCTTTAGTTTCCTTTTCTGTAAAATTATCTTAACTTGAACAAATTATACAGACATGTATGAAGTGTTTCCAAGTGGTGAGGTCTCTGAATGTGAAATGGAAACTGCCATCCTTTATGAAAGTGTGGTGACTTGAAACTTATTAATTCTGAGACTTTTTTTCTGTGTAGTGTACTCTTTGAGGATCAAGATAGTTACCTTTGTAACGTCACCTTGTTCAGGAAGGCGGTGGATGACTTCAAGCATAAAGCCAGAGAATATAAGTAAGACTTATTCTGTGTGTGTTCTGTCTCATGCTTAGAAGGATCTCTAGATAGTCACTTATGATTGTATTCACTTCCAAATGCAGATTTATGGTCCGTGACTTCCAGTATAATGAAGAAGAGATGAAAGCGGATAAAGAAGAAATGAATAGACTGTCAACTGACAAGAAGAAACAGTTTGTAAGTCTATATAAACTAGTCATTATAGAAACATAAGACATCTAAGACTTCTTATTGCTACATAACAATTTCATGAACTTGTGATTCTGAGAAAGCATTGCAAGAATGACATGACATAGTCAGCCTGCCACCCAATCTGCTTAGGGATAATTGAGTTTCCTGTAACACAGATGCTCCTCACTGCATTAAACCATGTGCTAATACTGCAGCAGATAATATATGAAGTTTGAAAATGGACAAGTGTTTGAAATAATCACATATTACTACAGTGGTACTTAATATAGTTAACCCACAGAAGCTGAGATGGTGTACTGAAGAGACAATGGAAGTCTCATTAGATTTCTCTTTACCTAGTATCAAAACACCCTTGAGCCATTATGTCTGTAGTGAACTCTGTCTTTAAATTGTCTTTATTATCTCAGTACAGATACTGAATATCTGCTCAAACATGCTTAATGGGCTGAATTGTTTTTGTTTAAGTTTGAATAGCATAATTTTTTTTTCCTCTTCCCTTTCACAGGGGCCTCTAGTTCGGTGGCTGAAAGTTAATTTCAGCGAAGCTTTCATTGCATGGATTCATGTGAAAGCGCTACGAGTTTTTGTTGAATCTGTTTTAAGGTAATAAGGCAAACCTGAATAGTGCTTTTCTTCCTAGACTTTGTAAGAATTTACATCTAGCTTGGGTTTCTCAAACTGAGGTGTGTCAATGCCACTCATCTGGGAAGAAGGAAACAAGTAGGGCAGTAAGAATAGCTGATGTCAGTAGCTTTTGTTGCCAGTTGTGGAATATTTGAATCATAGAAAGGCTTGAGTTGGACCTTAAAGATCACCTGGTTCCACCCCCCTGCCATGGGCACAAACACCTTCCACTAGACCAAGTTGCTCAAAGCCCTGTCCAGCCTGGCCTTGAACACTGCCAGGGAGGGGGCAGCCACAGCTTCTCTGGGCAACCTGTGCCCGTGTGTCACCACCCTCGTCATAAAAAAATTTCTTCCTTTACATCTAATCTAAATCAACCCTCTTTCAGTTTAAAACCATTACCCCTTGTTCTACCCCTACACTGCCTGACAAAGAGTCCCTCCCCATCTTTTCTGTAGCCCCCTTTAAGTACTGGAAGGCTGCTATAAGGTCTCCCTGGAGCTTCCTCTTCTCCAGGCTGAAAAACCTCAACTCACTCAGCCTGTTCTCATAGGGGAGGTGCTACAGACCCCTGATCATTTTTGTGGCTTCCTTTGGACTCGCTCCAAGTCCATGTCCTTCTTATGTTGGGTGCCCCAGAGCTGGACACAGCTCTGCAGGTGGGGTCTCACTAGAGCGGAGTAGAGGGGGAGAACGGGAGAATCACCTCCCTTGACCTGCTAGCGATATTTCTCTTGATGCAGCCCAGGATACGGCTGGCTTTCTGGGCTGTGAGTGCTGGCTTATAGTCAGTTTTCCATCCACCAGTACCCCTAAATCCTTCTCCGCAGGGCTGCTCTCAATCCACTCATCGCCAGACTCTATTTGTGCTTGGGATTGCCCTGACCCATGTGCAGGACCTTGCACTTGGCCTTGTTGAACTTCATGAGGTTTGCACAGACCCATCTCTCAAGCCCGTCCAGGTCCCTCTGGATGGCACATCCCTTCCCTCCAGTGTGTTGACCACACCACACAGCTTGGTGTCACTGGCAAACTTGCTGAGGGTGCACTCAATCCCACTGTCCATGTTGCCAGCAAAGATGTTAATCAGTGCTGGTGCCAATACCAGCAGCCCCTGAGGAATGCCACTTGTCACTGCTCTCCACTTGGACATCGAGCCATTGACTGGAACTCTTTGAGTGTGACCATCCAGCCAATTCCTCATCCACCAAGTGGCCCATCTATCATATCCATATCTCTCCAATTTAGAGACAAGGATGTGTGGGACAGTGTCAAACGCTTTGTACAAGCTGAGGTAGATAATTGTGTATCTTGCCCCTTGAGTAGTCTTTCCACCAGTGCTGTAGGAATTACAAGTATTCTAAGTTGCAGCAAGGCATTTTTGCTGATTCTTACCTTGCTTTATGAGCTGCTTGTAAAAAGAGCTTACTGTATCTTCTGTTTAAGTGGGAAATGTGAATAGTTCAGAATAAGAAGTATTCAGTCTTTGAGTAATATAACTTGACATCTTGAAATGTATGCTTTTTCTTTTAAAACATGCCTTCCTAAGAATTTTGTAATTATACTTTCAGGATGAAACTACAATATTCGAACTATAACATTTCTCTGCTGCTTCTTCTCTTACCTATCCAAAAGTATAGTTGCTAAGTTGACTTAAGAACAGCTGTAGTTGTTCCTCAGAAGGAAGGACCTGGATTTTTTGAGTTGAAAGGGTTTCTGCCCTAGTCAGAAAAAGGAAAGTATTTTTTTAGCCTTTTTGGTAAGTTATCATAAAGGAGACAACCAGATGAGAAGAATTTTTTTAAATCACATTAAATTGCATTCTAACCTGTTTCATAGCTGCTGTGAGCTTATTTTGACGACAAACTTGAGCAAGCAAGAAAGCTGTACTTGGTTTGAATATTGGCAAATATTTCCACACGCCTAGAGAGCAGAACTAAGTAGAACTAAGTAGAGACTAGGTTCTCCACCTAGTGGCATAAGCAAAGTCTTGCAAGTAAATTAACGGGAATGTTCAAAACTTAGTCTGAAACTTTAGGTAACTTTGAGAGGTGTACTAAGTAGTCAAGGTTTTTAAATTATTTAAAAAGCATTTAGACTTCTGTTTTGTTGTCTTAAACTTGAAGAAACGTCTTGCTTTACTGATACCTTGTGAATTGTCGAAACAGAATGGTCTTGCAAAAATGAAAATGAGCAGAACTTCCTCTTCAGCAGTAGAGTTCTTCCTCAAAATAAAATAAAATAATTCTGCTTTGAAAGATAAAAGAAGGCTTATTTCAGCATTTTCATACTTTTCTGCTTGACTTCCTCAGGTATGGTTTGCCAGTTAACTTCCAGGCAATGCTGCTTCAGCCTAATAAGAAAACAATGAAGAAACTGCGGGAAGTTTTGTATGACTTATATAAACACCTTGACAGCAGTGCAGCAGCTATCATTGATGTAAGTATTTTTGTAACTGCTACTTTCCTTCAACATTAGGTTTAGTCTGCTTAACCAAAAAAGTCTATTTGCTTTATTAAAAAGCTGTACTGCTCTATCTTCTCCATCATTCTCTCACGGTACAGAAAAAATATGTCTCTCTATAAAAACTGTCACTTCTATTTTACATTTTTGCAAAGCAGATGGTATTTAAAAGTTGCAACCAATGCATCTTACAAGCTGTCTCATATAAAGTCTGAAGTAATTTCTTCTTACTGCATTCTTTCCTACTATTGATGTAAAGATATGGGTTGCGCACATATCCTCTAAGAATTCAAAGTCAACTTTGATCTGAAACTAGGCTTAAGGAAGTTGAACATGCTTCATATCTCTTTTGAGCCCAGAAGGAATACATAAATTGTCCACAGTCTACAGTAACAGTGGCCTTAATACTGAAACAACTTTTTTTTTGGTTGCATCACTGCCTTGTTGAGTGAACATACTTGTCCTTCTCTGCTGAAGGAGGCTGAATTGTTGTCAAGATGGAGTCATCCTTTCCATCTGTAGAGGTCTCGTTTTCATATTTAAAACTGGTTTGCTGTGAGGCCTATTCTACTAATTTGTATTGAAAAACGATGCTTTTCATAGTTAATGATTAACTAAAGATAGGCCTAAAAATGAGTTCAGCTGAATTTAAGAAAAAATAAAAATAATCCTTAATTTTATATTTAATGTTTTGCCAAAGTATTTTCAGGACATTTTGGGGAAAGGGAATGTGAACTAGTTAAGATGAGAATTAAAGATGCTGAACTTAATGTAACTTCTTGGATCATTCAGCACCCTGTAACATTCTTTTCCTAGGCTGTCTGTTTAGTAGTAGAGAAATGTAATTGCAGTACTTTTGCTTCCATTTAGCAGCAGTGTGTTTACTATAGAAACATACATGGATTACTGATACAAAATGGCTTAGATTTTGAAAAAGCATTTGTATTTAATTTTGAAAAATACTTTTATTTGTCAGAGTTCTACAGTCACTTGAATGTGAAAATTTAAGCTTGGCCTATTTTCTTTTAAAAAATACAAATGTTTAATCTACTTCTGAATAGGAGTTTGAATTGTAAGAGTATAACTGGTTTCAAAATTTTCTTTGCAGGCAACTATGGATATTCCAGGCTTAAACCTCAGTCAGCAGGAGTACTACCCATATGTATACTACAAGATTGACTGTAATTTGCTGGAATTCAAGTAAAAGTTCCCTAACATGACAATCTTCTCAGTGTTGGTGTAAACAAACAGAAGTGAGGTTGAAGTATAGTAATACTTTTAACACTCTACTAATCTTATGCTTGCTTCTTATGTTAGGTGAATTTAACACACAGTGGTCCATCTCTAGACATTTTCTCTTTAATCTGCTTTTAATCAATTATGTCTGTAAATGTATATTGAGAGAATTGAAGTATTTATAAACAGAGTGATTTATTTAAGGAAAAGCTCATTCCTCTTTCCTATGGTGGTCTGTGTTAATTCCATTTACCATTGTTTATAAAAAATGTTTACAGAATAGTGTAAATGATCATGGCCATTTTGTTCATTTGATTTAGTAGATACAATTGTGTTAACGTTGTTGAACTGTGATGTAAAGTATGTAAAATTGGTATGAAATTGTGTTTTCTGAATGGTTTAAAGTTACAATTTAAGCACTGTAAACACAGGAAAAAATAAACATACCTGTGCAAATGTGTCACTTCCTTGTACCACATATAACTGTAAATACCTGTGTCTACACTGAAGCAGTGTATTAAGTCCTTGAAACTGATGTTACGTCCTGCATGCAGTGGTGCAGAAATGCAATCGACTTCAGCACAAATACTTTTAAGAGATGCGGGTATGTCTTTTCCTTTGTGCCGAAATGCTCAAGTATGTTGTTTGGCCACCAAACCTATGTATGAATGTTCTTCATGTTTATATCTTCGTGAATCTAAAGAAAATATGAGATGATTGTTGGGAAGATGGGAGTAACTGGGATGCTGACAAGCTAGGCTGACCTGGGATTTCTTGATAAGTCTTTGTTCTTTTCATTCAGTTGAATCTTGGGCCTACTTTATGGCTTTGAATACTGTACTATTAGATGCTCACTTATTTTTGGCAGCATCCTTTCTACCATACAGGGACTATGACAGCTTTCTTCTCATGTGTATAGAGGGGTTGTTTATTTCAGTAAGTTATCATAGCTATTACAAGTATTCTACATATTCCAGTTGCTAAATATGCAGTTAAAACTCCAGTACTTTTTAAAACTGCATTGAATTAAGACTGAGACTGGAGGAGCACTGATTTGTCAAAATCATTATTTGAAGTACTGTGACCACTGGATTTTTTTTCCTCTAATTTGGTCCCTAACTGAAAATACCAGTACTGTGAATCTAAGCAGTATAGAGCTTTCGGCTATAGAAAATCTAACCGTGAATCAGAAACTCTTTTGATGAACTTGCTATTTTTGATAAAACAACATTGAGATCTCCAATTATTAAAAGGGCAGGCTCGCTTTTGTGTGCAAGGGTTGTATCTAACTACTGATAATGAAATGGCGTTTGAAATCTGTAAAAAAAAAAAAAAAATTTACTGTATAAAATCACAATTGTTCTTACTATTTTTTGTAGGTAAAAGGGGAAAGAGTGAGATCAATTTTTCAGCTGTGCTCACACTCCCATGTCTGCTCTTACTTCCTTAGAGAAGATAACAGCTGCTTACTCTGTTGATCAGGTTAAAATGTGTGAGTGAGTTTATCACCCAGCTCCACCCCTTCTGCTGACTTTTGTAATGACTATGTAAAAAGATTAGTCATCCTGGTTCTGAGCTCACTGTAACAGAGATAAACTACTTAGGGGTAAAGAGGTTGGTTTTGGTCCACTGGAAGTATGTAATCCTGCTTTCCTGTTCACAGAAGGAATCAGGGTAAACTGCTGCCTCTGTTCATCTTAGTTCCCTTTTGATTTTTATTTTCAAACCCTACAAAAAAGTGCAGTATAAAGGTCTAGAATTCCAGTAAGTACTGTACAAACTCCTTTGCTGTGTATGTTGTCCTCTTCAAGGGACCTAGTGCCTACTAAATCAGCACTAGTCTTTTCCAATGAATGGAAGCAAGAGGTAGCTGGACAGTAGAATGACATCACCACCTGAGGTGAGGGAAGCAGTCACTGTGCTGAAAGAGGGATGTGATATGCTTTGTAAATGGGCTGACAGGCACTGCATGAACTTCAGCAGAGAACTGCAAAGTCTAGTCCCTGGGCAGGAATAGCCCTTGTGCACTAGTACAGGCTTGGGGCTGACTAGCCAGGAAGGAGAAAAGGAACTGGGACTGCTTGTAGAAAACGAGTTGCACTTGGGGCAAAGGCCAACCATCTCCTAGGGTGGTGTTAGGAAGTAGGTAGCCATCCTCCCCCAATATCTGGCACTTTTGAGGTAGCATCTGGGCTCTGCACTACAGGAAATGGGAGTGCCATAGTGGAGGAAGTCCAGTGGTGGTTACCCAAGCTTGTAGGGGCTGGAGCACCATGACATACTGGGAAAATTGTGTTTCTTCATCATGGGGAAGAGACAGACAGAAAGCAAAGGACAGATATTACTGATATTTTCAGCTGCCTAAGCACTTCCCAGACTTACAGGGTAGTAAGATGAGAGCCAGAGGACACAAGTTTGAATATGGCAAAGTCTCATTAGAGGCTGTGGTGGGTTGACCTTGGCTGGCTGTGAGATACCCACACAGCTGTTCTCACTACTCCTAGTCAGTGGGACAGGGGGAAAAAAAGTGAAAAAACTCATGGGTTGAGGTAAAGACAGGGAGATTGCTTACCAGTTACTGTCACAGGCAAAACAGACTTGACTTGGGGAAGATTTAGTTTATTGCCAATTAAAATAGATTTGGATGGTGAGAAGCAGATAAATAAAACACCTTATCCCCATTCTTTTTTCTGAGGCTCAACTTCACTCCTTTATTCCTAACCTTCCTTTGGCACAGAGGGATGGGGAATGGTGGGTTATGGTCAGTTTATAACTACCTCTCTGTTTCACCTTCTCATACTTTTCCCCTGCTCCAGTGTGGCTCCTCCCACAGACTGCAGTCCTTCAGTATAAACCTAGTATAGCATGAGTCCTACAGGAGCCACGTTTCTTTCAGGGCATGTCTATCTCATCCGATTTGGGTCCTCCAGAGGCTACAGTGTGCCTACCTGCTCCAGCATGGACCTCTCCATGGGCTGCAGGACAATACCCGCTCTACTGCGGTCCACTCTATGGGCTTCAGGCAAATACCTGCAGCGTGTTTCCTTTTAGTGATGCATCTAGATTGGAGCTATCTGTGGCTGAACAGGCTCAGAACTGCTGTCTACAAGGAAGGGAAGATGGTAAGATTGTTAAGTGTTAGTGGCCAGCCATGGAATAGCTGATATCTGATACCATTGGGCTTTCCTAGTGGTGAAGAGAGATACTTTGGATACAAGGAGTGGGAGTTAGTCTGTGTTAGATTTGATTTATAGGGAAAGTCTAGAAACAAAACCTTCTCTTTTTACAGTTTATTATATTTCTATGGTTCTTGAAAGACTTTTGGCAAATCGAACAGGGTTTGAACTGTGTAGAAATGGAAGAATTTCATTCTGTTTCTGAGAAGCATGCCAAGTGATTAAGATAGAAAGTAATTTGTGGAAGAAATGAGGAACATAGTCTACTCTGGAATGTGAGTATTACAGGAATTTTATTTTTATTATAGTAAGTAACAACAGATGATTTATGTCCTAATAGGAAAAGCAGGCATAGTGGATTGTCACAATTTACATGTCTGTAGTCAAAATCTGAGAAAGGGAGACAGCTGCTGCACAGCAGAAATATCTAAAAAGTGTACTAATATTTTAGTAAATTTAGAATAAATCTTGAAATGCTGATGAATACCATTTGAAAACTGAGAAATAAACTTTGTAATGAAATTGTGGTAGAAAGCAATACGTGCAGTGAGTTCCAGGATCACCAGGACTGGGGAGAAGAGGAAATGTGATAGCTCAGAGCTTGTAAAAGGGGCAGTTAAGCAAATGCAGAAAAGACCTAGTAACTCTCATTAATGATCAGGAGGGGTTATGGGGGAGTGTCACCATAGCTGAGGACAGAGCAGGAGAGAATTTCAGTGAACTTAAGTAAAATTAACCACAAACAAACTTGTTGGAAGAAAACAAACATCTCTGTACCTTGAAGAAGGGTAAGAGGAGGATCTGGAGAACTACTGTCTGGTCAAGCTCACCTTGATCCCCTGGAAGATGGTGGAGTAAACTGTATTAAGGACAGGAAGGTGATTAAGGGCAGTCAGTGTGGATTTGTGCCTTACCAACTTGATAGTCTCCTACAATGAGATGACTAGCTCAGTGGATGGGAGGGGAGAAGTAGATGTTTATCTTAATTTCACCAATGCCCTTGATACTATCTGTTATAGCATCCTCATTGGCAAACTGCTGAAGTACAGACTAGGTAAGGGGACAGTGAGGTGAACTAAAAACGAGGTGAACTGATGGACTCAAAGGCTTGTAATCAATGGCATGAAATCCACCCAGGGGGCAAATCGCTAGTGGTGTACCCCAGGGGTCAATACCGGGGCCAGTATTGTTTAGCATTTTTATTAAAGACCTGGATGATGGGACAGAGTACACCCTCACCAAGTTTGCCAGTGATATAAAACTGGAACGAGTGTCTCATACACCAGATGGTCCCCATTCAGGGAGCTCGTGATACACTGGACAAATGGTCAGACAAGGAACCTCATGAAGTTCAACAGAGGGAAATGTGTAGTCCTGCATCTGGGGAAGAATAACCCCATGTACAGACTGGTGGCCAACTGCCTGGGAAGCAGTTCTGCAGTAAAAGGACCTGGGGCTCCTTTTGGAAAAGAAGTTGAGCATGAGGCAACGATGTGCCCTCTCAGTGGAGAAGGCCAACCGCCTGCCTTAGGAAGAACACTGCCAGTGGGTGAAGGAAGGTGATTAGTTCCCTCAGCTCGGCACTGGTGAGACCACATCACAGAGTGATGGTAGCTGAGGTTGGCAGGCACCACTGAAGATCCTCTAGCCCACCCCTGCCCTGCTCAAACAGGGTCAGCTAGAACAGATTGCTCAGGACTGTGTCCAGTAAGGTATTGAAAATCTCCAAGTCCAGAGACTCTACAACCTCTCTGGGCAACCTTCTTCAGTATTCAAACACCTGTGCAGCAGAACTGCTTTCTTATGTTTAGACAGAATATGCTGTGCCTCAGTTTGTGTGCATTGGACACCACTGAGAAGTCAGGCTCCCTCCTCTGTACACCCTCCCATCAGTTATTCATCAACATTGATACGGTGGTTGTGAGACACCTTATTTTCTTGGGCAGGGGGTGGTGAGTGCTCCTGAAGTATTCAAACACTTGCTTCTGAGGCTGCTTTTGTTTTAAGGAATATAGATGTTAAACATGTCAATCCACAGTGACCAACAGATGTGAGATCTTCGGTTTGGGTGGGGTTTTTTTGTTTTTGTTTTGAGGGGGTTTAAAAAATATAATAGCATTTTGAAATGCTCAGCTTTTAAACCTCTGTATTAGTTTAGTTTTCATGATGATTTTGAAAGCTTTCTGGGAGATAAGTGCATCTATGTTCTGCTGAAATATTAGATAGAGAAAAACTTTGTGTGCAGTGACTGATCCCTAAGCAGAAGTGTTTAGAAGGTAACTTC